GTTCCCCTGGGGAAAGATTCTCAAAGGTTTCTGCATCTGTAATTTCGTTGGAATAAAATAGAATACAAGAGCGAGAGACATTCAGCATCTAAAGCTAATGAGTTACAAGCAACTGATGGAGAAAGGATTATAATTATCTACCCGCAATCTTTTGTAAACACCCTTTCTCCACTCATAAAAAATAGCAAAAGTGTTTAGGAAATAGAATGAGTTGGAATTTTGAGAAGCTTTAGATTATACACAAATTTTATGTCTCCAAAGAAACATCCCTGAAGTCAACAGAGAACATACACCAACAAACATTCACCCATGAAATAAAAGAACTAAGATTGAATCTGTCATACTTCAGCAATCATCTAAATATAACCCACTACAGATGAAACAAGGATTCAAGCATTATCTCCAATACTTAATTCAAATACAAAAGAGAAAGATCTACTACTACTTGCATATCATAGATCCATAGCAAGAATATTCACAGGAATATTAAATTTTATATATTATGGAATGAGCTACTGACCCAACAGAAGCAAAGAAGCAGGTGAGAAACCTCCAGCTTGAAGAAAACAAAGTGAGGTCCAACCAACACCAACAAAACCCCCAAAAATATGATTAAAGAAGACTATTTCTCTAATTGAGCTCCATTAGTCTCCCGGCCTATCACTAATCACAAGTTAAGAGAACCCAACAACAGATCATAACAAATTACAGATCAGTAAAACCCAAGATCCACTTTTTTTTCCTTTGTTTTCCTTTTTGCCCTCTTTTACTGTCTTTTTACGATGAAAGACTCAACTTTCCAGTAAAAAATTGACAAAAAAATCGGCCAAAGGAATAAATTGTGCTTCTTGGGTTTTCTACCATTATTTTCAATTATTGGTTATCAAAATCTAGCTACAGATTCTGAATTAAGCCAATCATGAAAAATCATTGAGAAAATGACACCGCCGATTACCAAAACCACACCGGGGCCTATACAAAGGGCCCGGGACCAATCAAAGGAGACAAGGGTAAAAAAGTCATTTCATATTTTCGCAAATTAAAGAAGAACCATTACCTTGGTCTTCTTCAAAGAAAACACTGCTGCCGTTCTCTTCTCCGTTGACCACCACCTTCTCTTCATTATTTTCTCTTCCCATTTTGCCCCTCGTCCTCTGCCTTATTTTCAACCCACTACCAAATTCTTCAGCAGCGGCAGCTTGTTCTTCTTCTTCAGTTGTTTTCCACTCAATTTCTCTCTCCATCTCCATTTTCTCTTCTCCCTCTCAACCTTTTTCGTCTCCCGCTGACAACTTTTGGCTCCATATATAGGAGTTCGGTATTTATGTACTTGGGCATTATATTATTACAATATACAGCACATTGTTGGTGTGGTTTCGTTGAATTGGAGGGTGAGTAGCTAGGAGAACATGGACTTCGTAAATGAACTACTCGAAGCATCACCATCAATAATTTACAAGGATCGAGTGGGACCCTTGCTGCACAGGTATTGCTAGCTCCGCAATGGGTTGCACCGAAAAATCTGTTGACTTCGGTTCATTGTATTGTATTAATGACTCCTAAAAATGGATAAAAAAAAGACTCCTAAAAAGAAGGTCATCAAAAACACTTTATTATTAGGATAGGCAAAAATACCAAATTGGTATATTTTGTTTACCACATGTGACAATTTAGTATATATATTTTTTTCTAGCGACGTATTGGTATATTATTTGTTCTTCGGCGACATGTTGGTATATCATTTGTTCTCCGGCGACAAATGTGCCTCAAATTTGGCCGGACTCAAATTTTTGGCAAAAATTTTCGCGTGATGCGAACTTGGCATAGAAAATATATATATACCAAATTGTCACTAAGGGTAAATAAAATACACCAATTTAGTATTTTTGCCTATTAGGATATTAATATAAGAAAAGAGAATTAATCTTTTCCATATGGATATATTCATGTACGTTATTATGAGAGGAAAAAAAACCACAACGTTTTTGACATAGAAAATTAGCAATTTAGGGGTTGGCTAGCTGATCAGAGAAAATAGAATCGAGAAGTAAATGTTGCTGTTAAATTTATATTTCTTGTATTTGGTTAATAACATTGTAACTAGAAAAGTTAAGTACACAATTTGAAGAAAGAAATTGTCGCAAATGTTGCACCTTCTGGAAAAAGAAAACCCAATATTAAAGAAACAGCTTTCCAATTCAATCTAGATAAAATCATCTCCAGTACGGTATACGAACTATCCTCAAGAAAAACAAAAACTACCTTAGGAAAATGTTTTCCACAACGAAATTACATACATCCAAACAATGAATTTGAAGTGAGCGTCTGCAATTGCTACAAATATATGCTACATTCATGACGCAGGCTTGTTACGACCGCAACCGGATCAGATCTAAGACGCACAAATTTGCTTCTCCTCGACGTATCTGCTTCCCCCAAGAGGACCGCAACCTTGACAATTTTTTTGCGGGAGCTTCAAAACAATCAGCTTTTTTTTTTTTTGTGCGATTTCAATTAGTTTGAAGTTACCAAATTCGATCCCGAGCTCACATCAATTCATCTTTTAGCAAAGCCGACAGCCCCATAATTGAGTAACTTCAATATCGTTTTTAAGTTGGTATTTGTTGAATATGCTACAGAGAGGATTAAAACCATGTTTTGCTCAATAAGTTCGCACGTGCATAGACTGAGTGGTAACTCACATCCCGTGCTATTATGGTGGGGACCATGATTTTATTGTTTGGTCAAGTCGCTGAAAGCAAGAACCCAATCGCTCAGCTGGGCAAAGCATTGAATGGACTGAGCGGGTACGTGACCAGTTCACGTGTATCACGCTTATTTCTTCTTTGGGTTTTTTTTTGTCTTTTACCCCAAGGTTATATAGCCCCACTTATTCATAAACTCATTCGCACCCCCTCCCACTTATTTTAAAACCCAACCCTTATAAGGTATTTATGCATAGTATTTCTCAAAATTCCCAAAATATCAACCCTTTGATCTGTAAATAGATCTATGAATCTCATAACAAAGGAAATGACCCTTCTCTTGGCTTTATTCCCCAATTTCTTCCGACAATCTCTAGCTTCCAAGGTTCTCCAACTCCTTACAAGGACATTCGTCGTCACCCTCCATGGTCACTTTGAGGTTTTATTCCTCTCTGGTTCTTTTCTGCCGCCATCGCCTGCGCCGCCAAATACCATAGGCAAGGGCAGGTTATTGGGCAGGTTGTTAGGAGTGACATGGTGGGGCAATTGATAGCAGCAAGGTCAATAGTGATAATGACGACATCATTTAGGAACACGGCTTACGAGAGGCTATCGTTAGAGGGGGAGGAGGCGACTATGACGTTAGATACTATTGGGTTTATGGGTCAGTCATCACCAGCACCGACGCGGTAGCCCATGAATGATGGGTTTCATGGGATGCTGCCGAAATTGAAAAATAATGTGTAGTTGCCCGCTGAGGCTTATGATTGGGCTGCTGGAGGAGGAAGAGATTCTTATTAGAGATTGTTGAGATTATTCTTTAGGATTTCTTATCTTTTCTTCTTCTTCCTTCATTTATCATTTTATGGGTTTTAGTTCTTTTTTCCCTTTTTTTCTTTTTATTGCTCATCTGAAACATGTTTGCTAGTAACATTGGAGAAGCTTGTACAATTCTATAAATTCTTGGTTCTTCTATAATGATAAGAGTTTGTGATGGTAATACTGCAACAATTAAGTACCCGAGAGCTATTTTTAGTACTACAATTCTTCATAACTGACTTAGTATAACACCTTATTTATACAATGTCTGATCAAAGTGTAGCACTTTATGTCAAAGAGTAACAGGAGAGAGAGGGACAGACCAGTTGTATTTGGGGATGAAGGGTAATTTAGGAATTTTTGATTTATTGGGGATGAAAGGTAGTTTAGGAATTTTTAATTTATTGGGTAAATTAATACAGTATAAAGAATGAGTGTATTATACATATTGGGTTTAAAAATAAGTGGATGAGATACATTGGGTATATTGATGTTTGGAAAAGTTGATAGATTTTTAAATAAGTAGGGATAAAACTTTGGGTTAAAAGAGAACAACCACTTATTATTATAAAATCTCTTGGATAAAGTGTTGTTCTTTGGAAGGATGATGGATCCATAGTGGAGAAACCATAGGGGTATTAAATGATTATTCGCTAACACTGAAAGTAATCCATTGTTATATTGCCCATATAATTGAGAAGGGTAAGATCAAGTCAAAATGATACCCACTTGCATTTTCACCCAAGATCCCCGCATGAAACCCAAACCCATTAAGTCTTTATTTGTAGATTTCAACTGACTGAGCACTTAAAATATAGATTTTTCTTCAATGATATAGTTGTGATGGAGTTCATGTTTCAGTCCATAAAAAAATATTCAAAAACATTCGGACAATTTAGAATATAAAATTATAATCATGTAGTCTTATTGTAACAAAAGGGACCTTGGAAAACTGGAACTATAGTTTATAGGTTTTTGTTTTACCATAAGCATCGCTAATGAAATATCCTCTTATAGTTAACAAATTAATAGCAGTGTTGTTAAAATTATAAGTGCGGTCACCTTTGTAGTTTCTGTGCAAAGAATTTTTTTTCCCACTCAGCAGATTTGCATTCTAATTATTGATGAATTAGTCTCCCATCTATACAAAATTATTTTCACGGTCTTATCAGTATTGCTAATCTATAATTACATTATTTTTTAACAAAAAAATAGTAATGAGACAGTTAATCCATAAATCACTGATTAGTATAACAAATATTTTATCTAATTTCTATGCTCCATTTACCACAAATTGAGCTGCACTCATGTATGAAGAAGAGGTTAGCCAACAAAGATATGTAATTTTTTTAAAAAAAGTCACGTGATGATAATTGATACCACAGACAAGTAAAAAAGAACAAGAAAAAAGATTCGGCCAACTTTCTGTATATGAATAATCATGTGAAAATTCACATTAGTGCAATTGTACGAATTTTCAAGAGGTTATCTTTGGTCTGAGAAAGTTGTCACCAATACTTAACCTAATTAAACAATAAATTTATCATCAATCATTAGGCTTCAAGGTCAGCTGCTAAGTTCTCACCTAAATACATACACCTCTGCACGTTCTCACTAACCAACAACAATCATGTTCATAAAAGACATATAATTATATGTGTATGATTGTCTTTTAATTTTTTTTTAAAAAAATAAAGAGTACAATATAAAGAAAGGGATAACAACAACTCAGAGGATCTTTGTTTGTACTTTCTTGTTGGTGTTGATATAGCTGTTTTTATGTTATGCATGTGTTTGCACGATTTTTTAGAGAAATTTCATCGAAACCTCAAAATGCTTTATTACATTAATTTGGTTTTTTTTCAATGAATTAAACTTTATTTATTTTCCAAATATGAAAGTTGTGTAGTACATCAAATATCAGAATATTTTCTGGTAATCAAACAACAAAATTACATTTTATCAAGTACATCTTTCCTATGAACATGTATATTTTCATTCAAAACTTTGGAGTAAATGGAAATTTTGATTGCACGAAATAGCATATCTGTCTTCCGAGTTCTCCCTTGAAAAACTCTCACATTTCTCTCCTGCCAGATTAAATATATTGCAGCCGAGAGAGCCATTCTCTTCTATTTCTTCATAAACCCCCTCCCTTTGAGATTGGAGGAATACCAGTTAATGAGTTGATTCCAATCACAAGATCTCCATTGAATCCCAACCAGTTCATCATCTTATTCCAAATATCAGCCGAGTACTGACATTCAAAGAACAGGTGCCTGCAAGTTTCCAATTGTTGACTAGAACACAAGACACATTGATTTGTGTCTAGTATTCTCAATCGACACAGCCTATCCTGAGTGAGAAGTCTGGAGTGATTAACTAACCATAGAACAAATGAGTGCTTAGGATAGTGTAATCCCTCACATGTTGTGTCCGACCAGGCGACTGAAGTAGCAGGCTGAGTTAGAGCTTTGTACACAGAAGATAATTGGATCTTGCCATTGATGCAGCAACCACCAATAATACTTAGTAAATTTTTCGCATTGCCAAACTTGGTTAACATCATATTTCTAACTCCGAGGAGTTCTTTCCAGATTTTCTGTTATCAGCAAAAAGGCTAACAAATGATTTTCTTGATTCTTGCTCTTTGTTTTCTAGACTTATATTCTCCTCATGAGCTACATTACTTGTTTTTTCATTAAAATCTTCTTCTAGAAAGGGATTTTCAGTTTCATCTTCCAAATTCTTAGTCTGAGCAATAAAACGGGTACAGATCTCAGCATCTTCTTTATCCAGATGAACATTTTCAATTAAATCAATTTCAATGTTATCATTAACATCATCAGCCCACAAGTTTGATTGAGGGGGTTTACTTAACTGACATA